GGGTGTCAGCGCCGCAGGCCTAGCTATATGTGCGCCAGGCGCGTCGCAGCGTAACAGTGTTTCGTGAGATATCGCGAAGCCTGTTACGCGAGACGTGGTCTGGCGTACATATAGCTAGTAGATATGCGGAAGGGCAACGAAAACTGTCTGTTTAATTCAGGAAAAGCGAAGACAATCGAAAAAGTAAATGTTGACATAATAGTAGTGTAGAGTCAGATCGCGTGCATGCGTGCACCGCCGCCAACACCTGTTGGTAGTGTGTGTGTGGGGGGGGGGGGGGACACCTGCAGGTCCACACTCAGCCTCTCCGTTTCTTATCGAAAGGAATGAGGAGTTGGGGCATGCATAGATAAAGTAAAAAGGGGGAGATAGGAGGGTGGAGGAGGAGGAGGAAGGGGTCCAGCACGGACAAGACAGACAGTGAGGCGGTCGCATTGCTAGAGTAGAGCGACGACTAGAGGGACGAGGCGTCTACCTCTTCTTTACCAACCCTATCTCTCTCTGGCAGTCCCTCTCGCAGCTCTGGTGTACTATCTCTCTCATTCTCTCCCCCACCTTGCTCGCGGAGCTCTTCACTCCTCAACCGGCCTCGGCCCCCTCTCCTGCTGCTGCCGGGCCAACACCCTATCCCCTCCTCCTTCGTCCTCTTCCTCCTCCTCGCTCTCCACCCGCGAGCAGTTGGGGGCCCTTTGGCCCCCTCGAGTCGGCATGTTTTATTCAGTAGGCAGTCCGGCCGCCGCGCCCCGCCCCGCCCGACCACAGTCTCGATACTGACCCCGACACCCCTCCGCCAGCCCGCCTGGTTGCGCGTCGCCTCACCGCTGCCGAGATCTCTTCTCTTAAATCTACTTCGCATCCTTCGGCTGGATCCTGCCAAGCAAGCGCCACTCCCACGCCCCGCCACACGCCCGAAGCGAAGCAGAGAGAGAGAGAGAGAGAGCGAAGATGTAAGAACCGTGCAGGGGAGAAGAGAGCGATGAGAAGATAAAAAGTAGTAAAAAAAGGCGAAAAAAAACACAGGAAAACAAGTCGGTGTGGCGTAAACAGGGCGTGTAAAACGAGGAGCGGGGAGGAGCGTCAGGAATTCCCGCGGGGGAGATAACGTCAAATTGACTCGTGCATGATCACATTACGCGCGTCGAATAATTAAAGAGGGCACGCCGCCTACACCCACTTGCGTTTGTTTTTTCCTTCTCTCTCGTTTGGTCTGTCCCCTTCTACTCATTTCTTTAATACCGGTACATATCGATCGGAATACCGATTGTTATTATTCGCAACACTAACACTGCCGTGCTCTAAAATAGGCGCAGCAACTTGACGCGTCGGCGGAGCCAGCAGCACCGTGAAGGGAAAGGGGGAGGTGCGGTGCTCCCGCTGATAATGATACTACTTTGACAATTTGGCAAATGTCGATATCTCCCTCCCCCTCCCTCTGTCGTCCCCTCGCTTTCCGCCTCGCGCAACGGCGGCCCTTCTTGGCAGCCAGGCTCGCTGCGACTAGTCCCGCTTGTCCGCATCCCGCTCCGACCCACCCCGCCGGTCCCGCCGCAGGGACGGATGGTCGGGCGCATGGTGTAGAGCGGGCGGAAGCCCACATCAGTCCGGCTCTTTGCGTCTCTGTCTTCCCCCCTCTCTCTCTCTCTGTCACTACCTCCCCTCGCTCACTCTTTCTCCGATTTACTTTTGTCTTCTGACATTGCTGCTCCTCTGCTACCATTATATATGTATATTTTTGCTTGTGGGAATAAAGATAAGCGTTCCGTCGCCGTTGGCGGACTTTGGAAGGTTCGAGGGTTTGCCTTACCCGCCCCACTTTCCTTCGCATATATATACCATACCGCCCCCGGTGGCGAGCCGGGCTGCGCGCCGCACGCGGGCCTCGGAGTCGGTCAAAGGGAAGCACACAGAACGCAGTGCGTGGGTTGTGGAGCCCCACCCACTGACCCCCCCCC